GGACTAGTCCTCCATGGCGGTCTAGAGTCTGTTGGGGCCTTAGGGAAAAATTAATTGGGGGCCCCTCCAGTCACTATTATATCTAGCAGTGTCCTCATGCTCTTCCTCGACGGATCATTCCTCTTCATTTCCCTTCAGTGCTTTTCATTGACCAGCTGTGTTTGTCACAGGACTAATACATGAGATAATAAGCAGGGCTATGAGAGAGTGCTGTCAGATGGGGCCCCATTAGGGAGGTTTCCTACTGTCATTGCAAAATGTGCACATTTTGAGCTACTGCTGCGGTTTAAAGTTTGTCAGCCCTCAGCAAGCAGTTGCCTGCCGTGTCTGTTGACAATCAGCGCCTTTGCTAGTCCTCATTAAGACATCGACCCCTTTGATCTTTTACAGTTTCATATGAGGGTGTCAGATGATTCGTCTTTAAAATTGCTTAATCGCTGAATTTCAATCGTTAATTGAGATTAATCACATTTTCACTTGCACGTTTGAAATTCCTTTAATTAGCATTTTAATGTTTATTTGTATCGGTACAAGTATGGAGAAAGAAAACTGATGCAACATATTAACAGCATTTATAGCCTAAGCTAATTTGCAATGCCCGTCCCTATCGACCTCTAAAACACATCAAAGTCTGAAAGAGATTTTCAGACCTAAATCTCAGCTCTGCGTTGATGCATCTGATGCAGTCCCAGCTGAAAAGCAAAGTGTGTATTTAACTGCACTTCACTGACATGAGCGTCCACACATGATTTCACAACCCCGTGTAACATTTGCTTTCTCACGTTCATTAATAAGCTACCATATAATAACTGACGAGCCTGACGAGCCTTTAAAGACGGCATAAAGCATGCGCCCCTGACTTATTTCCATTCTTAACTGTTCAGTCTGATATAATTGAGTTCAGTCATTCTGCTATTCTTTCTCTGACAAAACCGTCTATTATTTCGCCAGCACATCCTCCATCATTCTCATCCTAGAAAGAGACACAAAGAAAACCAAAAAAAAAAAAAATCACAGGAATACAAAATAATATTGGACTGGATTTATCAAAAGGCCATCAAGGTTTGGAAACACATGTTAGGTGATTTAGAATTTGACTTAGCTAATTACAGTAATGGCAGATTTTCAAGGGATTAAGAAAGATGATTCCCTCTTTTATGTGAACCCACATTTTGTTTTAATCCTGTGTGTGTGTGTGTGTGTGTGTGTGTGTGTGTGTGTGTGTGTGTGTGTGTGTGTGTGTGTGTGTGTGTGTGTGTGTGTGTGTGTGTGTGTGTGTGTGTGTGTGTGTGTGTGTCTTTGCCACTGCTTGGCCTGAGTTTGCATCATCAGGAGAAGGATTTGGGAGGATGTCTAGAGTCTTTTTATAAGACACCAAAACAAGCTGAACTCTGACATCAAATGTATAACAGTCTAGAAGTTGATCACTAAAAAAAAGCATAGGTTATTAGAAATACAAAACTAGAGGTTTTGAAACAAAGTGGCATGCTTCCTGTGAGGCGGCCTTTAAGGAGTTGCACAGGGGGAGCGAGAACATGCAACAAGACTGTGTAAAAGGATAAAGGGATGGGGACATACATGGGAGGTCAGCTGTATAGGGAAGCCCACTGACTTTGCTTGGAGCAGCAGTGGATTTGGGGGAAAAGCTCATGGAAGAAGTGAAGGCTCCCTGGAAATGTTTGAACTTTTATTGACTGGCTGCAGGGATTCAAACCAACTTTTTAAATTCTTCATTAAGTCATAATTCAGTCAAATCTGAACACACTCAGAAGTCATCCCTGTGTTTTAGATTTATTTAAAGACCTTTTGATTTAGTCGGAGGAAGTCCCACTTGGCTTGACAAAAAGACCCCCCTTCATCATCCAAACTGTCCTCTAAAGAAAAAGGCCTGTTTTGACAAACCTTCCAGCTCTGGTCAGACATCTTAAGAACTCCTCTGGTTATACAGAAATGGTAAAATAGGTTTGTTTGGGAGTAAAGTAGCTCTACTGTATGCTGTCACACGCTGAAACCCTGCATTACTAAAGAGACCACCTCAGGCTGACGTACAGAAGAAAATATAAAAATGCATTTTCAAGCTCAGAAAAGATGTCAGGATCGACTTCATGCTCTAACTTTGAAAACATCAATCTTTTAAAAAGACTCTGAGGCTGCAGCACTCTGACCTGCTTTGTCACAATACTGAACATTATAACTACTATAGATACACAATGTATACAAACAAAATGCGTAGGCTAATAAGATACGTCTTGCTCTTTTTATATATTTTTTTTCTCTCACTTTTTCCCAAGAGTAATTTTTCTCAGAAGGTGAACTATGTAAAAGTGAAGTTTGTCAGGTGGAGATTCACTTTAAATATGTCTTTCACACGTACTGTTTCTTCCTGGACTCAGACAGAGAAAACAGAAAGTTGACAGCAGGTTCATTGATAAGGTTATACTTTTGTACATTCCTTGTTTGTAAGCATCTAAACATCAATGACATTTCAGGCTGTGTAGCTGACACTGGATTTATTGCCTTAAGCTTCTTTATATTCTCCATATTTGATCATCATTAAATATTTTTTTGGGCCTTTTGCCTTTTATTTGAATAGGACAATAGAGCAAGAAATCAGGAGAGAGAGTTGAAAATTAAGGGGCGGTTGTGGCTCAGAGGTGAAATCAGTCGCCTCTCAACCGGAAGGTCAATTTGTATGAATGGATTAGTAAACACTGATGGATGCTTTATGGTCCGCTTCTGGAGCACCTGTGCTCGATCATGTAAGTGAGGGGCGTGGCTTTTGAGGGAGCAGAGAGGGTAGGGGGTGGGTGTAGACAGAGCTCTGAGGAAATGCTAATTTCAAAATCATGCTAGTTTTCAAAAATGACCAAACCTTCAGAACAGAATACTCACAATCGTGTGGTGGTGGTGTTAAGTCGTCTTTTATATCAATGGAAATGAAACCAGACTTTAAAATGAGCTCACAGTGGTTTGTCCAGCTCCTTGTGGCTCAGGTTCACAGCAGGGGAGGACAAGATTTCATAAATTTCCTGATATGAAAATTGCAAATGTTCAGAAGTTTCATGGCCTCACAGACAGTCAGTGTTTCACGGGAGGTCTATGAAAAATGATCTGATGGAGAAATTGCTTTGGAAAATAATGTTCCCTGATGTGTAATGAGGTTTGCGCCGACTAATGAGGTTAAACAGAAGAGAAAATAAACAAGACAGCACAAAGTGAATGATGTTGAACTTAGACTGGGCCAGAAACCTTCTCTGTAGAAAATGACCTTCCTCCTGTGAGGGATGCAGACGTGTTTATAAGACGAGGTGGAAGATGAAGAGAAGAACCAAGAGGGGATACAAAGTTGGACAGACTCCAGGATATTTATCTTTGAATCTTCCTCCCGATGAAAAACAAGCAGATCCAGAGATACACAGACAGGTTTTTCAGGAGCTTTGGGCTCAGGCCGGATAGATTTATTTATAACACAACTCTGACTCTGCAAATGAAATAGAGCTGCTTTAAATGAAGACAGGGGGGATGAGGAGGCTGAGATATGTCCAGAAATGGGCCTGGTCTGCAGAGAATTGTTGTGTTCTTTTTATCGAGTTCAGCACAGTGAGAACAGCTACGACTACACAAAGCCCCTGGGGTCAGAAGAAGCAGGTTGCATTAAGGAATCATGCTGACAATGCTGAGTAAACCCAGGAAAGTGGAATTTATTCTTTGCCTTTGTTATGTCAAGTCGTAGGTAGTTCAGATTTGGTGCAGGGCAAGGTAAACTCTGCAGGTGAAACATAGCTGTGGAGAATATCAAACATTTCTTAGTCTGTACATGATTTTATATCCATCAAAACACAAAAAGCACAAAGTTAAACATGTTTTGATCTTAATATGCTTTGCTTACTTCTACCTTATAAGGGCAATACTAAGCAAGGCATATAAAATCATAATTCATGTTCAACAACTTCATAACTTACAACCAATAAGTGGTGCAGAGGATCGATTTTTTTTCTTACTCTTATCTTAGGGTATATTAGGTTTGTATTGATATCAAACTAAATTAATTTAATCTGCTCAATTTATCCACTCACAGACACAAACACAAGGAGTACGCCTCGCGTTTTGAAAGTTTCATCCGATACTCTGGTATTTATAGAAGTCCAGCAGCAAGCAGCTGAACATTAACATGATTAGAACAAAGCCATGAGATGCTTCAGTTTTGATACGAACAAGGCACCGCAATCGGTGCATTTACGAGAGATATGTACGGACAGTGGACCTAATCTTTTTTTGCCTGAAACCAGCTGTAGGGTAGGTGTCAGGTGAGGAGATTTACAGCATGCCCCAGAAAGAACCTTTATTGTTACATTTTCCACCGTAAAGACTTGAGTGACAATGAGTGACACATTTGACAGCTAAAAGAAAGCAGAGTAAAAAACTGAAAACCCTACTAACACACACGTTCAGGGCAAGATCAGCAAAGAGATCAAATGTTCCATTTTGACCTGTGTGTGTGATTAGTGTCTAATCTTTGCCTGTGCTGTCACGCCAACAGAATCTGACTCGATGGATCCGCCACAATATGGCCTCAGTATAGAGGAGGAATCCAGGTAATCATGAGCACTAATGCTTGAAATTCTCCTTTGGAGTTGGTAAAAGTATTTTGGGATAATTATTTCAAAGATATTTTGTGGTGTGGAAGTATTCCCAGAACTCTCTCTCTGTCACTTTCTCTGTGCAGATCATTCAATCAGAGAGCCATGAATGTGAGAAAAGCCCTTCGTCTCTACAACCTCCTCATGATGAAACGCAATGAAACTCTGCGGGACATCATCGCAGACTTCAACGTCATCTGCGAAAGCCTGGACAAGATGCACAAGCAGAATAAAACTATGGGCATCGCGGGAGGCACCACTGGCGCTGTGGGAGGGGTGACTGCAGTGTTGGGGATCGCCTTGGCCCCTGCGACCTTAGGTGCCTCGCTGATTGCTACAGCCGTCGGTGCTGGTATGGTGGCATCTGCGGGGGGCATAAATGCACACAAAAACAAGGTCAACAAGAAGTTTCTTAATAAGATGGCAGTGGAGAAACTGGTTTATGACTACAAGGAAAATGTTGTTGACCTGGAACATTGTTTGGATTTTATCCTCTCTGGGATGAACGAGCTGAGAAGGCACGACATTGCCAGGCTACAGAGGGCGGGAGCGCCGCCTGACGCAGTCAAGATGGCGCATCTGTCACAGTCTGTGCATAGGATGGATGACGGCAAGAAGGTATCTCACACAGGTGGGATGTCGTCCGAGAGACTACTTCAGGAGTTTGCCATGGAAATCGATCAGTATTTCAAAGAAAAGGATGATCGAAAGCTGAAGAAGTCATCCAGGAGCAAGTTTTCTGGAAGGGTTTGCATGCTCGCAAAAAATCTGCAGAGTGAACTAGATCACCTGAATCGTATGTGGGAAATGTTCAGCTGAATGAAATGAGAGCTCTTTGTGTCCATTTGTATGTGTCTGAATGAGAGAGTGTGTTTCTGAATGCTAGAATATGTGAAGTTAGAAATGAAAATGCTTTATTTATCACATGTATTTTAATAAACATCAAAGTTTTATAGAATATCTTTGTGTTTGTTAAGTTTTGTATTTCGGTATGTAGGGAATGTGTTTCCTCATGCCACTTAGCTATTACATTCCTTATTTATATATTTCAATAAAAATTTTGGGTACTTAAAAGAACGTTTTGCGATTGCTATTTTTTGTAGGCTATGTGTGAGTGAAAGTTTGTTTGGAACAGTAAAAAATGTGTCGGCCCTATATGTGATTAAACATAAGATTTACTTTATTGATCCCCGCAAGGGCAAATTTCAGTTTTGACACTCTGTAGTCATACAACACACACATACGCTGAAGTATACACACACATGCACACAAACAGGATCCTATGGACAGGCACTAAGGGAGAGATGTCAGAGTGAGCTCCTGAGCTGGTGGTGGGGAGGGGGTTTGGTGCCTTGCTCAAGGGCACCTCGGCAGTGCTCAGGAGGTGATCTGGCACCTCTCCAGCTACCAGACCAACATCCATACTTGGTCCTCACCGAGACTTGAACCGACGACCCTCCTGTTCTCAACCCAAGTCCCTACAGACTGAGCTACTGCCAAAAAATATAGCCTATATGCATTTGAAAGAACATTAAAGCTAAATAAAATAACTTTTTTGTTTTTTTAATTTGTGTTCATTTGCGAAAAAGTGTGTTTCAGTGTTATAATTTATGCAATTAGGGATTAAAAGCCGTATTTATCTCATTTAAACCTCATCTGCGATTCACAAAAGTATCGACAGGTAGCTCAGGATACCTTCTTTATAGCCAATTAAAATGGTGATTAATGAGCTACAGACTTATTTGAAGTCACTCGCATCATATTAAACGTTCTTGTGATTTACTTTGTCTCGTTTTTGATCAGGCCTACTTTCTAGAATTACGGTAAAGCTATGCGTGGAATGTGTCAGGACCAAACAAAACAGTGGCGGAGTGATACGGACGTGCACTGCGGCGGAAGGACATCCCGTATCCTCGCTTTACCTTTATATCAGCGCGTCGCCTCCTCATGCGCCATTTTCCCTTCTCAGGAACAAACAACCCGAAGTGACACCATCGTTGAACATTGCTCTTTCGGCCGAAATGGCAGTGTAAACGTGTGCAGCGACCCAGCAGCCAACCAAACAGTGCATCCAGCCAGTGCACTGAGTCACTCTCAATTCAGCAAATATGTCGTAAGTATATTTTTTGATAATATTTCGTCGATAACAGACTCGGTGCGGCCTACATCGGCTACGAGCCTAATCACCCAGACGAGATAGAAATGCAATATTTAAGTAATAGTTTAGTTGATATTAAGTGCTTATGTCGAATAATTCGATAAAAAATTACTTTAAGATATCGGAAAATTGAGGATTTAAAGATATTAATAATAAATGATTAATTACTGACATGACGCAACACTAGACGTCGACGTGAAATTTAACATTTTTTTTGTTTTCGTGTGTAAAGAAATCGATACATTTAATCAATACATATTTAACAACTATAATTAAATAAACCTTTCGGTGTCGATGCAACGTGGCACTCAGAAAATGGTTCGTGTACTCTGTTGTGTCAAAATGGCGGCTTCGTGTAGGCGTGTGAGGAACAAAAGTGTGGCCGTTTACAGTCGAGGGAGGGTGACACTGTTGAAGGACGGGCGTGACGTCAGAGTCATAAGACTGGAAGCTGGGCGGAGCCACGTGACGTCATGCGCAGCAGGTGCATTGCAGACGTGGTGGGGGGCGGGGCGGTGTTGTGCGGAAATGTGATCAGAATCTTTAATTTTTAAAGTCTACACTGTTTATGTGCAAAGCAAAAGTAGTGTTTCTACAAATCTTCATTCTAAGGCGAATTTTATGAAGATTAATAAAGTATTTCTGATTCCAGCTGTTTTTTGTTTTTTTTGTCTTCAACAATGATGTGAACGTTTTTTTTTCCCCTCACTTTCTCCCTGGTCTCAGGTCCTACGTGGAAACCCTCACTACTGCTGCTTTCGACAGCATAAAAGAGTTCGAGACTTGCCTACTGTCGCGCGCTCCGTTCGTGACCAACAACAGCCACTATGACCATGATGATGACAAACTCACAGTTTGGCCTGGAAGACATGGAGGACCTTCTCTGGGGACCTTCCTCTCCCATGGCTGACCACATGGACCACCTCTCTTTTCGCCCTGACCAAGAAGAAGAACAACAGAAAGGAGGAGGAGGAATGTCAGTGGAGGGGGACGCTTCACCTGTTTCCCCCCTCGCCTCCTCATCACAGTCTTCTTCCTCATCTCCTCCTCCCTTCTACTCTCCTCCACCCTCGCCACCTGCAGTCCACCTCCAAGGGGACAAAGCTGGGACTGAGTCGGACCTTCTCTCTCTCCCCTGGTTGGGTGTACCCAGTCAGCTGAGACGGTCAATCTCAGATGTCGGCAAAGGTAAAAAAAAAATTAAAAAAAACTGGACTAATGATGATAGATTTTTTAATCTGACTAGAAATTTTAAAGTTGTTCCTTCTGATACCACATCAGCATCTGTTTGTGTAGTAGAGATAAAAATATTCTAATGCCTTGTTTGCCTCCACAGAGGACATGTTCAGTGACCTGGACTGGATGGCCGAGAGGATGGATCTGAGCGAGTTCGACCTGGACTCTCTCATAGGCTCTTGCAGCCCAACTGAAGAGTCCCCTGGCTCTCCAGAAGACCTCTTAGCCTCCCTGGATTGCCCCATGGAGCTTGAATCCCTCCCAGTGCCCACTCCTGAGCTTCTCCCTGTTCCTCTAAGTCTACCTCCTCCTCCCACTCTCTGTTCAGAGCCGTCACCCATAATTGTGGAGGAAACAGAATCCTTCATTGATGACCAAGATGTTCCCTCCCCAGCCCTCGTTGTCCCCGAGCCACAAGAGGAGCTGGAAATCAAATCTGAGCCTGTGTCCCCAGACCCATCTCCATCTCCATCTCCCTCCCCCTCCTCACCTGCTTACACCCTGGACCTGGGCAGTGAAGTAGACGTCTCAGAGAGTGAGGTGAAGCCTTTGGCAACTCCTGTCATCCCTCAGGTCCAGAGGATCGTACTCTCCCTTTCCCCAACTCGCATCGTCTTCGTGCTCGCTCCTAAACAGGAGGTTCCCATCGCCACAGTAACCACAACAGCCTCCCCTCCACCAAGATCTTCCAGAAGCAGACCCTACCCTGAGCCTGCATATGAAGCTTGTACACCTTCTACCAGTGCCACCAGTGTCAAAATAAAGGGTACTGGTGGAGACGGAAGGGCAGTTTTGAAGGCACCAAAGGCCAAGAAACTGAAGAAGATGGAGCAGAATAAGACTGCCGCCACTCGTTACCGGCAGAAGAAGAGAGCCGAGCATGAGTCACTCAGCGGAGAGCACACATTGCTGGAGAGGAAAAACATGGAGCTGAAGGAGAAGGCTGAGTCCATGGCCAGGGAGATTGAGTACCTGAAGGAGCTGATGGAGGAGGTCCGCTCGGCCAGGGTCCAAAAAGGTCTCAGCGCTGACCCCTAGTGGTCAGACTGAAAAAAGGACAGATTTGTGTGTGTGTAAAAGAGAGCAACCATGAAATTAAGTCTTTCTTGCAAACAAGTATCAGTAAAAATTTGTGTAATTTCCACACAGCATGTCTTTAACATGATATATCTTTTTCAGATATCGAGCACAGGTATTAAATCTAAAATACTTTTGTTACTAGAGAACTTCTCTTGAAAGTATTTTCAACTCCGTATAAAAGCTTGTGTGCAGTTTATTGTCATGTATGTACATTTTTCCTATCGCTGGACCTCAGTTACTTGCCAGTACGCTGTCTTTTAACATTTTTAAACTAGTGGATTATATAGTACAACTGGACCATGTATTATGAATCTCTTAATAAAGAGTCTTAATCCTAATTGTGGTCATGTGGTGTGATTTCCCTCTGGGTGTCTTCTCCATGAAGAGAGGACAGTAGCAGTGATTCAAACTGCCTTTTTCTCTCCTGGGATGATGCCCTATAATGGCTTCAAATCTATGCATCAGTAATTTACACTATAGCAAGATCATTAACAGTTTTTACATTGATTTTCTACCTTCCAGCTAATGACTGGAAACTAAAAACCGGAGCTTGTTTCTGTCTCCTTAGTTCCATTGCTTCAGTACACTGAGCTTTTATTAGCTGACGGAGGCTTCAAATGACACCAGTAATTATGGAAGTGCATCGCTCAATTTCAAAGTTCAAAGTGTCACAGTTGCCCTGTGAATAATGCATTAGTTGGCCAACATGAGGAGCATAACCATGATGTTTGCCTACATTTAATTGCAAATATAAATTGACACATTATTATCAATCCTGAATATAGAGACATAAGCCCACAGAAATGGATTCATACTGTTTTCTGTCAGCGAATGTTTTAAAACACAAGGTTATTTAACTGCAACATATTACACAATGTTACCTAAACGTATCAAAGAACCTCGACAAAACAAGACATTTGATGAAAACGGTCTTTATAGGCTTCCATTGTACACGTGACACTATCCCTACCTATCAGCCTGTAATGAAGAGCTGCTCTAGGTTTTACAAGTCGTCGCGTTACTGTGTTTGTCTAATGAGAAGCCTCAAACTTCCAATCTGTGTTTTGTACAGATAATAAAATTAAAGCTCCAAAGCTTCATTCATCAAGCCTCACCCGCCCATCTCTCACACAAGCATTAAATCTACTGGCCTTGACACTCAAACATATAACTATTTTGGCCATCACAGTATTTGATTTAATCGGCCACTTCTCTCTGAATATGATATTCAAGATT